CAGGTAAAATGTTGTGTTAAACTACATGGTGATTTGTCGAACTTTTTAAATTGTAATTCAGGTCTATTTCAAGGCGAAATTTTAAGTCCCATATTATTTTCATTTTAAATTAATGATATTGAAAACCATTTGTACTCTGAAAATTGTCCATCCATTCCATTCGATACCATGAACCTTTTTCTTTTAATGTTTTCGGAAACGCCCGAGGGTTTACAACAGTTGCTTGACTCATTATGTAAATATACTTGTAAATGGAACCTCACTGTAAATACGAAAAAAACTAAAATTGTTGTTTTTAGAAATGGGGGGAAATTATCAGAAAATGAAAAATGGTTTTATAATGGTAATGAATTAGAAATTAATCTTTAAGAGGCATTTAGTAACTGGGTAGAGCAATACACAAAAAACACATACTTATGGAAAAACAGCTATTTATTTATTTGGGCGACGTTTCGAAGAGTATTCTCTCAATGTTATCAAGCTAATACAGTAATACAAGAATTATGAGATGAATATATACAGAAAACTTGTATTACTGTATTAGCTTGATAACGTTGAGAGAATACTCTTCGAAACGTCGCCCAAATAAATAAGTAGCTGTTTTTCCATAAGTATGTGTTTTTTGTGAATTAGAAATTGTTGACACTTTTAACTATTTAGGATTGATTTTAAACTATAATGGTAAATTTTTGAAAACCCAGAAACATGTAGCTGATCAGGGCAGGAAAGCTTTATTCTCTGTATTATGAGTATGTAATGATAACTTTTTTAACATTGAAACTAAATTGTCAGTATTTGATACTTATGTCGGAAGCATTTTATCATATGGTGCAGAAATATGGGGATTTCATAAAGCCGCTAATGTGGAGAAAGTTCAATCAAATTTTTATAAGCGAATACTAGAATTTTGAATTAGGTCGATTCCCCTTACATGTAATGAGAAAACTCAGAATTTTTAAATATTGGACAAAACTACTAAATACTGATAATAAGATTTTAAAATGTTGTTTACAGGACCAGGTATCTAATAAAAGTCAATGGATTACAAATATAAGGAATGAATTATTTCAAATAGGTCTAGGCTATATTTGGGAAAATAGAGAATTCTGTAACTCATCATATTTCAAATCCATTAAGCATAAAATTTTAGATATTTTTAAACAATTATGTATAGAACATATTTGTAATTCATCAAAGGGTTTCTTTTATCAGCATTACATTTCAAATTTTAACTTGCAATATTATTTGTCCAAATCCATACCATATAAATATGCTAATTGTATTTCAAAAATCCGTTTATCTGCCCATAACTTATTTATAGAAACCGGTAGATACAACAGTGTTGCTAAAAATAAAAGGTTTTGTAAATTTTGCGATAATGATGATATTGAAGATGAGTACCATTTTGTATTAATATGTAAAAAATATAAAGATATTCGTTTCAATTATATTAAGCCATATTATAGAATTAATCCAAGTGTATATAAATTTATTCAACTTCTGACTGTACATAATATTAAGGAATTGACAAACCTAGGAAAATATCTATCAATAGCTTTTGAATTGAGAAATAAATCTCTCCAAAATCTAACGATATAAATTGACATCTTAAATACTTGTAAAAAAATGAAATTGTCTTCTCTCCCGAAAATAACAACCTTGTAAATAATTTCACATTTGCATGTATATATGTTCTGTATATTGTACTGTATCTGATGGGCAGTTAGCCCAAGGAATAAAGAACTGAACTGAACTGAACTGACTTCACGATCTCTCTTATTACCAGATACAACGGGGACTGAAGCCACCACCATGGCTTAATAATCATACTGTCAATACCCCTTACTATCAAAACATCAATAAATTATTAGTGTCTTTGATTATGTCTTTTAATGATATGGTAATTTAACTAATGTGTATAAGCATAATCAATAAGGGTGATTACTCTCTCCTCCTTCCTTATGATCATAATTTTATAACTTAATATTCAAACCATTTCCCTATGTTTAAACTACAATAACAACCTTTATTTAATCATTTAGCATTTTTTAACTATGTAACTATTAATAATGAAATATATTGTTAACTATTGACTATTTGTGAGGGTGGGTCCCAATCTTCCTGCATTATATTAATAAGTCATTCCATGCATTCGATATTGCTCGACCATTATCTTTATTCATTTTAGGTTTATGTCTTCGTATTTCTAAGGCTTCCCACAAAACTCTCTTTTTCCATACTTTAATGTTCTTAGTTTTATCCCATTCTATGTTATGGGTAGGATTTTCTATGATGTGTTCGGCTACTGCAGATTTATTGGGTTCCAGACGTCTAGTTGCTGCTTTATGTTCTTTAAGTCTCACTGATAACGGGCGGCACGTTTCCCCTATGTACATGGATTTGCAACTGCATAGGATCTGGTACACTATGCCTTTCGGGTCCACATTTGGTATTTTTGTTCTCCCATTGGCGTTGATCAGTGATTTTAATGGTACTCCTCCACTAAATGTTACATCTTTTTGCAATCTGGTCAGTAATCTTTTAATCTTATGACTTCTTGGGCCTATAAATGGAATGTTGATATGGATAGGGGCTTTTTCTTTACCAGTCACGTCGGGGACTTTATTCAGTTTTTCCGTTGTACTGCTAATAACTTTTTTCACAAATTCTAATGGGTAGTTGTTGTATTGGGTTAGGGTTTCAGTGATGTGTTTAATTTCTTCTTCAATTTTATCATCGGTGCAAATATTATGAGCCCTTCTGGTTAATATTGACACTATTCCCGCCTTGGTTGTTGTTGGGTGGGCAGATGCGAAGTTAATATATTGATCTGTATGCGTCGGTTTTCTATACACTCTTGTCGTTACTTTATCATCATTTCTGTCAATTAGGATATCTAAAAAGGGTAGCTGTTTATTATTTTCTTCTTCAACTGTAAATTGTATTCTTGGATGTATGGAGTTGAGGTGGTGGAGTAGTAGTTGGTGGTTTTCCTCTTCCTTCATTACAGCCAACACATCGTCCACTTTTCTAAGTCAAATGCTAGGTTGGATTGGGGATGTTATTAGGGCATTTTCTTCGAAGGCTGTCATATAGATTTCAGTGATAACCGGACTTATTGGTGACCCCATTGGTAACCCATGGATTTGTTCAAATATTTCATCTTTCCATGTAAAGTATGTGGATTTAATACACAATTGTAACAATTTCATTATATCCAATGCCCAACGCCAAACGACAAAATCATATGTTGGTGATGGGTGGTGGTTGATTTGTGTTACTCGAGCTATTCACCGATTAGTCCAGTCAATTTATGAAGCAAGGGGGTCAACCCACCAAAGGATGCAAGAAAAGGTTTATAGATGGAAAGTCCAAAATTATAAGGCTAAAGTTCAGTTTTTTTAGACAGTCATCAATTTTTAAGATTAACACATACAACCGACGCCATGCATTAGGTTGTTAGGGTCAAACCTTTATATATGGCATGATGTTCCTAGATGTCCGGTGATACCTTGAACCATTTTCGGTGATATCTTTACCCCAGAAACATGCTGCACAGAATCCAAACATTTAAAGGGACATAACTTTGCACTGTTTTATCACAAAATAACAATTTTGGTCTCTAGATTAATGTATGTTTTTGGGGTCATTCTTCTATTTGAAGAAATGCTCAGTGGCGTTACATGGTTCCTGATACCATTTTCGTGGAATCTCCTACCCCAAAACATCTTGACAAGAACCCAAATTTGTAACTCTGCACTTATCACTTACTGGCATATTTTGGTATGTACATGTTTTAACTTTTAGGATCCCTACCCCCAATAACCTGATGTCAGATGAGTGAAGCAAGACAAGCAAATAGATGTCCAAGAAATTATTTACCAATTTGTTCTTCATAGAATGAAGCATGCTGGCGTCTCTATGATTTCTAAGGTGCATTTCATTAACGGAGCAACTTTTGCTAAAATAAGCGCCACTCTCTGTTTGCTGGGGTATACAATGTTATTGTTTGCATTACATTTAATGTTATACATTCATAGAACCTCAAGGTAAGGTCAGTAGCGGATCTAGAAGCTGGCAATGTGGGGTGGTGGGGGTCCAAACATATGGCGCCATCCATAATGCGCCCCGGTAGAACATAGATTGTATTGCACGACTGTTCTCCCTCGTTATCTAGCGAGAGGATAGCAATTTAATCAAAGTTGACATTAAGTTCATGTCATATTATGATTTTCATAGATTTTGTTACTAGTTACTAATATTTTGTGAATCCTGTGAGCAGTGGCTTTAACACTGAGTAAAACGACGGGGAGACAATTTGGAAAATTTCAGTCAATATCCCGGCTTTTGAGATAATTGCTAGGAGCAAATTATTGTGAACGAGAGGATCAGAATTGACAGTCAATGGGACAGAATCTCGAGATCTGCCCGTCAATTCCACCTGTTTTGTCGCCCAATGATCCACGTACTACCATAACTTGGCGATTCACTATAACCGTGAATATGATAGTTGTCAGATAATATGAGACCACAGAGGAATAGAAGAATGATGCCATAAGCGTCGTGGGCGCGAAAAAAGAATATCAGATAACAACATATAATATAAAACTGAGCTTTTAATTATTTGGGACTCGGTCAAATTTTAGTCAATTTCCTTGCATTGAACGAGAAGATAAGAAATGGGACAGAATCTTGAGGTCTGTCTGTCAATTCCGCCTCTTGTGTGACAGGACAACTGTACAGTCTGTCATCTCACGACCCACTGACTACTGGTACTACTTGGGGGTCGAGAGTCGATCATGGTCTTGACAGGTTAATAAAAGTCTAATTAATAATTTATATATCACTTAAGGCCAAAACAAAGACCCGCAATGGGAAGATTTGGCTCTTGAATAAGGTATATTTAAGTAAATAAATTTGGATGGATATTAACTGTCTTTCAAAAATAAGAGAGTTTATTAATGAATTTGCTGATGTTTTTTATTTTAAACTAAACTCACCATTCTCCAGTCGATCTACAACAGATTTGTAACCACATTCCTTTAAGCATTGTATACATATATCATAGACATCACCACGATCTAATAAAGTGAACAGTAAAATCTTTGTAGCATTTCCCCTTCCTTCACGTTCGTATATAATACGACAAGTATCTATGTCTGTCTTGTTGAATACACCTTTCTGATATAATATCTCACACAGTTGTATAGGTTCTCTAATGTTGTTCACCAGATAATCAAAATTACTCTCTATCTTCCTTTCGCTAGCGCTTGGCATTTTTCTGCGTTGTACTGAAATTATAGATCCATGTTATTGTTTATATATTAAACAGGTTTTACAAAGATCAGACACGATCCCCGTAACAGTTTTTTTTATTTAATATCTGTATCACTACACAACTGAAATAGAACATTGCCATTCTAAAATTATTATATTGAAACAGATGCCAACTATTTAGGCTCCTAGAATACAAACAAAATATAATATGTGCCACACGGGACTTTCTGAATGTCCAATCAAACACTCCCCCCGATATTTGCACAGAACTAAGACGAAGTTTTATAAAGTTTATTTTACAAAGAATTAACCAGCTTTATTAATTAATAAAATGAGGGGGTAACGGTGGCTGAGTGGGTAAGACACTGGTTCCCCCTTGTCAGTTCAGTGATGCCTGACAAGGACAGCTGTCTAGTCGGTCGGATGGTACGGAAACCCGAGGTCCCGTGTACACATTGGAGTGCACATAAAAGTTCCCTTGACAATTGGACATTGTGCAAAGTTTCCCCCATAGCACACTGTATGAAATGAGGGGGTAACGGTGGCTGAGTGGGTAAGACACTGGTTCCCCCTTGTCAGTTCAGTGATGCCTGACAAGGACAGCTGTCTAGTCGGTCGGATGGTACGGAAACCCGAGGTCCCGTGTACACATTGGAGTGCACATAAAAGTTCCCTTGACAATTGGACATTGTGCAAAGTTTCCCCCATAGCACACTGTATGACGTATGTCTGTATGTCTTCATTGGCCCAGTTCGGAGCAGTAGGAGGTTAAACCCCATTTCATTAAATAAAATGACTGCAGCTACTCGTTTACGATCCATTTAAGTATCATAACTTGTATTTACCTTGTGGCTTGGGTGGTGTGGGTGGCGTGGTTGGTGACGGTACCGTAATATTCGTTATAGTTCTTGGGACTGAAATAAGAGATCAAAAGTTTGTTTATTTTAAGTAGCCTAACTTGTATTTACCTCCTAGATACCACCAGAGTTTGTATCCTTGGTTCAAATGTACAACAGGTCTATATTTAGAATACCACCATTCATGGTTCAAATATATACATGGTTTGCGTTTAAAGTATCACTAGAGTTTGTCTACATCGCTGTGGTCAAATATACAGCAGAATTACATCAAGCTGATTAGAACACAGATTCTATTTCGTTTCGTTTTTTCTAGTTCTAAATTTCGTTTTACTTGTCTTCACAACACTAGGATCTGGAAGAGATGTTATATAACAGGCGTTCTAGTTGATGTGAGGAATTAGCGAATGAAACGGTATGTTACGGCGAGTTCTTGGCGTGCTTGATAAATGATTGATAAATCATTGTCTGACGTTATAGGGTCGAAAGCCGCTCGTATGACCCTGACGCGACCTCCCAGTACAACTGGTCAGATCTTCATGTAGTGTAGTCCAACCAAAGTATAAAAATACGAAATGAAATTTTAATCAGATTGTCATTACATTGAACATACCACTATATTCGCGGTACAAATATGCACCGGAAATACATTTAAAATACCACCAGAGTTTGTCTATATATTCATGGTTAAAATATACATTGAAAATACCACCAGAGTAAGTCTATATTCATGGTTAAATTATAGCTAGATCTACATTGAACATACCACTAGGGATTGTTTTTATTCGTAGTTCAAATATATGGACCAGATCTATACTTAAAATACCACCAGTGTGTATATATTCGTAGTGTTCACATTTCAAACCTACTGAACTCTAGGTCAATATTTAGAATTTGTTAACAGTATATAAAACGTTCAAACCTACCGATTTCGGGGATTTCTACAGCAGCACTTCCGGTACCTGAAACAATATTGGTCAGTTTTAATCGGGAAAAAATACTTGATAGGATGCGCTCTCGCCGTTTTCATTTCGCCATGTCAATACTGGTACATGCGTCGAAATTGAAACCACGTCTTTTGAGTCAATGGCATTCCTTATAATCTTAGATCACGCCTTAGATTTCAATGGATTTGAACAGCCGCAAGATGTTAACGGTTGTCAAGTACCATTGCTAAGATGATAAACGGTCTTTTTAAATGAATAAAATATTGTTTAAAGACAAGAAAAGTTGATAAACGATCTACGCTTTATCTTCATACAGTCATGTAACTTCACCCAGAATAAAGAAATTTCAATAATTTTTTTTTCAATATAATATTTTTACATTATAAATCTTTGAAGTGTGTCAAGATCCCTATTAACTACCCAATATCTTTAATATAGATCCCTATTAACTATCCAATACCCAGGATCTTGAACATACATCCCTATTAATTACCCAATACCCAATATCTTTAACATAGATCCCTATTAATTACACAATATCTTTAATATAGACCCCTATTAACTACCTAATACCTTTAATATAGACACCTATTAACTACCTAATACCTTTAATATAGACACCTATTAATTACCCATACAGTTACCCATACTTAAAAAGCCTCACAATAGTGCATTTGTTATAGCTGCTGAAGCGAAAAAAGTATAAATTTTAATAATCAAAATATTGAACTATTGAAACTTAGAATTACAAGGTAATTTGTTTTTTCACCCTGATGAGACACCTTTGTCACAAATACTTTGTTTTAACCGTTATTTTTTATTGATACAGGACTTGTTTCTTTAAAACCATTGCAATGTATGTATAGTCTCAGAATGGAACTTATTGCACTTGATGTCATTTGGGAAACAAAATGGTCAGATATATCCTGGACATCTATTAGAATTACATTTATTAAGGTTTGCCTAGAATAAAATGATATTTATTTCCATGTTCATGTTTCAAGCTGAATATCTCGTGAATATCTAGATCCATCGTCGTTATTCAACAGAAAACTAAAACATTAAAGAATATCACTATTTACTTAATTTTCCGCATTGGCATTCAAAATATATAAAACAAAGGCTCCCAGACTGAAATCCTGAACAAATTATCTGAGTATGAATATGCATATGGAGAATAGCAGAGGAACCCGCTCCCTCAACCACTGCCCAACTTACGCACCCATATAAAACCACTGGGACTCGTGTAATACATGTACATACCTGTGATCGTCTGAACCAATCCTGTATATCCCAGGTCACTCAAACATTGGATAAATTTATCAAAATGATCCTGACTGCCTTTTATATAGCTTATTAATAGGGATACACCATCCTCTGGTTTCTGAGTGGCTGTTTTTAATATCTTCTTCAATTGATAATCATGAACAGCAAAACGTTCATGTAATTTATGTGCCACAATCCCAATTTGGTCAGCAAGTGTAGTTCGCAGCAATCCGCTATGTGCCGTTAAAATGGACAGGTGGTTTGGCAGGTGAACTAAATTGAAAGACGGATTGTCATTTATTAAAGGCGAAACATAATAAAATAAAAACAAAGTCAAATCGGGGGTTATATATATATTAAAATTTGATTAAATAATACGCTTGTGAGTGGGAAAAAACCAGAGGACCATAAAAAACCAGCAGGTTGTGTAGGCGACCATACTCCTCGTCAGGTACAAGCTGAGAATTGATACCATGCCAGTTGACTCAATTACAGACCTTATGATCTATAGTGCGCCCGTGCGAGCATTCTTCTACCAGACCAAATATAAATACAGACTATATCAATCATCAATCACTCCCACCATTAATTATCTTAGTTAAAAACTGGTTTATATCAAGCAATTTGTGCTTTTCTGATCATTTAAAGTTTACATTAAAGAGACATAATGTAAAAGCTAAATCTGCAGGTCATTAACGAGACATTATGCATGAGCTAAATCTGCCTATTGCAGGTCTTTCTTTAGGCCTTAAATGTTATATAAATTATTAATTTGGACACTAGCATGACTAGCATGGATGGCTCCGATATTAAGTAAAATAGAACATTTCGGCCATTTAATGTTATATAAATTATTAATTAGACACTAACATGACAAGGCCATAATCAATTCTGGATGAATTCGGATGGCTCCGATTTTAAGTAGAATAGAACAGTTCGGTCATTTAATGATTTAATTTAAAACTGGAGAAGCAAGATTAAGCCTCAAATACCAGCACCGGTTAAGATACCAGTCAATAAGATAATGAAAAATCAATGCACACATCTTGTAAAGACTACACCTTTTTCAAACCACACGAGACTTAGTGTTCGCTTCTACGTCATGCATAATTTATAATTCACTTGAAATAGATGATTTGAACCAGTTATTATATTATGACGTCAACTACATTATCATGACTTACTGATTTTACAATGGTTAATCAATGAAAACAAATTATTCTGATTATCTTGTAATTACGAGTTAACTATTTCGGAGTTAGGAGTTAATATCTCGTAATTCTGTTAATGATTTTACACTGCTAAATTGAACATAAATACATATGTTTGCACTAAATTATTTTATACTAAATCGGTACTACTCTTCTGGTAAATACTCACGTCACAGGAAGGTTGATATGATATATTTAGTTTATCGCATATATATTTACCTGGTTTCACACATTCCGTCATTTTCTTCTCTTTATCTGTGTATGAAAAATAATATAAACATTATTTTACTTACAGAAAATAATGAAATTGGGTTAGCATCATACTTTCAGCGTCACCCGGGCTAATGAAGACAGACATACGCAATGCAACGTGTAATGTACTCTTATTTCGAATTTAAACTGTCAACGAAGGGTCCTTTTACCTGCATGCCAATGTGTACACGGGACCTTGGCGTTTCTTCCAATCTGAACGACTAGACCAGGCCCCCCGTTCCTGCACCACTGACAAGAGGAAACCAGACCACACCATATCCTTGTACCGCACCCGCCATTTCAGTTCTTTTTGCACGATATAATCAAGAATTCTACTGACGTTGACAAAATGATGGTCTGCTGTATGCTATATAGATAAACAAGCGGCTGGGTTTATATGTTTCACAGTAAAGACAACCACTCCGCCATTTTACATTGTAAGGACAGTTAATAGAATACAGCTGATTGATTATATTTGGACACAGTACAACATTTATTTATCCATGAACTTTAAAATATGGTACCATATCGTTTAGGGCCCAAAATCAATGAACAAAGAAAAACATATTATATAATTACAATGCGATAGTAAATAGTAATGGCCGATTCACAAATGATAAGACAATAATAAAAAAAAAATATGTTTAGAACGGACGATCGTTCAGTTTGGACTGTTCACGTATTTCACCGAACATAATTGATTAGAAATTTAAAAAAAAATGATTATAAATCACTTTATATACACTCATATTACATTAATATGTGCTTTTAGACCAATTGATGGTTCCAAAAAATAGAGTCATACACTGGGTGTGGGCGTGGCATGCCTATCTTCTTATACCCGTCATCAGTCGCCATGTTTGTTCTACAAATTGAAAACAAGTATGGTGACTGCTTGGGGTGTTATCTATTTCTTTTTATTTAATTATTGTCACAGTTTTATAATCGGAGTTCAGCTTTAAGTTAGGTTTCCTTCAAGGTAATTAGAAGGGTATCTCTGGTTGGTCAGCATTAACCAAGTATTGTTGTGTGCATATTGTCTATTTGTTTTGTTATATTTTATATTTTATCATTGCTTGGTAATGACTAGAGAAGTCTGTAGTAAACAGGTAATTGTATTCCACAGAATTGTGACTTGTATATATTTAAGCTACCCGTCCGCCTAGTAGGAGTAGGGTCGCCTGTCCAACCTCGTGGGTTTTCTCCGGGTCTTCCGGTTTCCCCCCACTGCTAAAGACCCCTACGCGCAAGCGAATTATTGAAATAAAGTTGAACCATGTGTTAGTCCCGAAATGACCTAGTTTGTGTCGAGTGGACGTTAAACCCCATTTCTCTCTATCTCACCGCCTAGTAGTAATAAGATATCAGTTTCCTAGCTATTAGTTTTATTTATCAAATAGTATAGTACGGTTTCTATTTCCTTGATTCGTCATACAAGTAATGTTATTTACTGAGCATGAGATATATATATGATTTGATCCAGAAAGATTGCATTATGAATATTTCTATGTTTGAATTATATAGTCAATGGTATTACTGTTTATTAAGTCCGTTTGTTGATTTAAACAATATTTTTATTCAAATAAGTTGGATATTGTATACATACACTGTCAAAAGGTATAAGGATTCAAAAACAAGCCAAAGGCTTATATTAATTCGTCTCCTTATTTAATAAATATACTACAAATACAATTGTAATATGTACACTTCACATATAAAAAAACATTTAATAATATGGTATTTTCTATTTACTATTAATCGTGCATGCAAGCAATTTAATAGTTTGTGTCACTTACAGTACCTTACCATTTCATAAGTCCGTTTGTTAAAATGTATTGTTCTACCAATGATAGACCACGCCCTTAACGTTCCCAAATATAAACACTAGGTCAAGCCTTGGACTTAATCCTAAGAATTTTGAATATAATTTAGTATGTCTGAGAGCACTTTCAAGATATTTATCATTGGAATTTAATAATAATACAGTGTATGCCTGCTGTAGAAGTTTATATTTCTGATTCTTGATCTTTAATGCAAATTATCTCTGTACACAAAATGTAAATGTATAATATAGAAGGCTGAGATGCCAATGTTTTATATATTGTGTTGAACAGGTTCCTGGATTGCGAGATATTCCCTAGTAGTTTGTTTTGTTCTCTCGTTTAATCAATATTGTAGGAACACGATCGCATGAGAAACGATTTCAAATGAAGTCAAACAATCAAAGGGTAACGCGTCACAGTCAAACTTGCTTAGTATTGTTTTGCATGTTGGTATACTGAAGAAATATGTTTTTTTGTTTTTCTAATACATCCCGCTGGTTGTCTAGAATATAACTAAAGCACAACACAATTTACTGAGAGAGAGAGAGAGAGAGAGAGAGAGAGAGAGTACATCCGGCTTTCATGTAGTTGTCTTGGACTGTCAGATGTGATGTGTGCCAACATGTTACTTAGACCAATGTTTCCAGCAATTGTTTCACAAATAATAAAACTGTCATTGTGTGTAGACATTTCCAATTAATGACAACTCTCAAATCCTATGATTGTGTTAGTCGACAGTCAAAGCATACATGGTGTGATTGGCATTTGTTAATTTCATAGGTGTCGCCAGTCTGAACATTAGTGTCGTTAATATGTTGTAAATAAAGATTGTAATTTGATCTAGTGAGTATAAACTGAACTCATGTGTAACAATATACTCTGTACAGGTAAAACTGTAGTTAAAGGGACAATAACACTCTTGCTGGCTTGACAGCTCCAGAAAATAACAAATAGCCTTATTCTAAGTACTGGATGTATAAGTGTGTCTTACCTGTTGTGTAAATTATCCATTAAATCCTATTCTACTTGTCGAGAGGGTTCAAAAATATTTTTAAATCCAAGTCACATTTGAAAAGCTTTGCGTCAGGCTTTTCAAATCATTTAGTTGATTTTTTTTCAATTTTTTAAATTAGGTGTGTTAAGATGAAATTTGTATCATCAATCAATTGGAATATTGTAAAATAGTACAATTTGTTGACCAGAATAAAGATTGGGACATATTATTCAGTTACAACAAGAGTGGTATTGAGCCTTTAATGAATCAAACACCGATACATACCCTACATGTATACACTATAGTATAGAAACTTCCTTACTTGATGGGGCACGGCACGTAATAAATCCAACTTCAGTTGTTATATCTTTACAAGACGATGTTAGGAAAATGAACGAATTAAAAACAAATGGAGTAGTTAAATGGTTGCCTGTATCTCAAGTATGATGCTGGTATATATCCAACACTGTCGCTGATACACGAACTTGGCGTTTCTATTTAAATACTTCCGTGAATATCGTCATAATAGAATATCTATAAATATCCACATATAAACCCGTGATGATTTTATTCCTGTATGTTAGATAGAGATAGAGATGGGTTTTAACGTCCACTCGACACAAACTAGGTCATTATGGAACTAAAATTTGGTTCAATTTTATTTAAAAAATTCGCTTGTGCGTAGGGGTCTTTAGCAGTTAAAGGAAACCGGAGGACCCGGAGAAAATCCACAAGGTTGGACAGGCGACCTACTCCTTGTCACGTACAACCGAGGAATCGAAACCAATGACAGACCTTATGATACAACACGCACGCGCTAACCATTAGCCCCCCCCCCTCATTCCTGAATGCACCTTTAGAAGGAATGACAATGGTTTGAACACCAAATGATTTTACTAACTGTTATCAAAATGTAAATTTGAAGAAGCCACAAACCTAAATGTTTGGAAAAATAAATTTCCAAATATTTATTATCTTACAGTATGAAGAAATGGTTTTGATATGTACAGAGATCTCAAACATATCAATATCTTACAGCATGGAGAAATGGTTTTGATATGTACAGAGATCTCAAACATATCAATATCTTACAGCATGAAGAAATGGTTTTGATATGTATGGAGACCTCACACATATTGATTTTAACATCGAACATAATTTTATACCAAGGCAAGATTAGTTAAAATTAGTAAAACTGTTGATAATTTATGTACTGTTTGTAAACAAAGCAAACTGAAGATATTATTCATGTCTAGGTATATCAATATTAATTACACTCATTAAAGATAAGCTGAAATAAATATTATTAACTACCATATCTATGTGGTATTCAATTTCGAAATACGAACATCCCATATAAACTATGCAACTATAGATGTTTTATTTGGTTATATAGATACATTATGATAAATAAATGTGTTTATTGTATAGATATGCATGGTAAAGTTATTAAAGACAGATCTAGCAGATACATCATTTCACATTAAGCATTATTATAACACTATAAATAGCAACTTTACTAAAGAATTCATATGGACTTTCGTGTTTAAAAAATAAAATCAAACGGAACAACTACACTTGATTTATGAACGATTAAGATATTTTGAGATAATTATGTATTGTATATTAAAAGGAAATTATTTTAATATTATACATGAATTATTTTAATGTTTTATCTTACATTTATGAAAAGAAAACAAAAGATATATGTAAAATCCAAAATCCATTATAAAAATGGTTTTAACAGCATCCATTTTATTATGCTTTTTAAAATATTTATTTTTATATTTTAATCAACATTGATATTGGCTGTATACTGTATATAAAACATGTATTACAAACTATGCACATCAGACAAACTAACACAAAATTCACCAAAGTGTTCATTTCATATTAGGCTCATCGTGTTATCAGTGCACATTACGTATATTATGGCGGGGGAAAGCGGCAAAAACCTAATGTTATGTAGAAATGTCTAATTCAAAACACACATGTAACATAATAATGCCATACCAAATACTTAAAACGTCTAATGCAAAAAACAAAATACAAGAAACCCCTTATACAAAATACCTCATTCGTCTATTGCAAAAGACAAAATACAAGAAACCTCTAATACAAAATACATATAACCTCTTATGCACAATTGATTTTACAATCTGAAACATCTACCATAAGCATTAGAT